AAGACAAGGCCCTCAGGACATAATAGGATTAGCCCTCTGCCCATCTAGCAACAGAACTCACCACATGACACCTAGGGAGATTGCATCACCCAGCAAGGTTCAAACAAGTCTGGGACTCAAAAGACAACCTACAAAGTTATCCCTGCATGGCCTCATGGGAGATTGACAATGTTGGGAGTATACTCCTAGTGTTGGGTAGGCAATATATATCTAGATACAACACCAAATGGTTGTTGTTGTTTTAAATGAGTGGATGTACTTAACAGTTGTAATTAACTTTACTATAAGAATGAGTCAAGAGATCTCCTTCTCTCTCTCTGCTTGTCTTATGCTTGATGACTTGATGACTGGAATGTGAATTGTGACTGTAAGCTATTGTTTGTTCTTTGAATTGTGTTTGGATTAATATCTACTATACTATCACTGCTTGTGAAGCAATTATCAGTAGTAAAGCTACTTGTTTTTACTAGCAGTGTCTGAACTCTATTCGTGTGTTTCTACTAGCAACATTCTTTCTCTCTAGCTGTACATTCCGCTGCACTACTTTCTGTCTCCCAACGGAGATACCCCTAACAACATGCTTTTTCATAGCACATCACTTTAAAATATTTCACTTTTCTTCTTCCTTTCTTTCCAATAGATCTGGCAAACAAACATTCCTAGACTCAGCCTCAAGCGATATGAACCACTTGCCGGGTCAGGATAGTCAGCATTTTAAAATTCAGCTAGTAGTGCTCAGTGGCAGCCAAGGCCTTAGTGTGGTCCAACCAGGAAGAGGCAGAGCATGTGCCAACTGGCAAATAGCACACAGGGAAGTGTTCATGTGTTGTTCATGATATTACCATCTGTCACTATTGCCCCCTTTTCCTGTTCTTCTGAGAAGGAGCTGCACACAGAGAATGTCTGTATTGACATGGTCACCAGTATTCTTCCTTAGCAATGGCCTTCTTCTCAATAGAGCTGGAGATAGCATCCACTTATGGGTTAACCCCGTCCGTTCTCCTATTGGACTGAGTTTGATTAATAATTAATTAGTTGCATATATAACCCACCTCTGTGAGTGACTCCACACATCTTTCGACTCAGTCCATTCTGGACAGTAGTGTTATCCAGTATCTGATCTTCTTCATTGGCAAAATTGTTTTTAACAGGAAAAGTGAGTAACAGAGCCTTGGGCTATTGGAGAGAGAGGCTTGTTGAGGTTTCTGCTAGCCTCGAGTCACAGGTGTAAAAAAGCAGAGGAAGGATCACGTACTGACAACCAACCACTTCAAACACATCCCCCCTCACCTATTGTGAAAGGCTGATTGCTGCTGGGAGAGCCTTGCTGGCCTTTACACGACCTCTCCAAGCTAACTAGGGATCGGAGCAGCTGCGCTGTCAAAGAACGGCACGCTGAAGCTGCAGAGAGGCAAAATGGCCTCCCTCAGAGAGAGAGAGAGAGAAAAAAGGTCTCACACATTGCCTTTGATCCCGGCAGTTGCCTTTGCGAAGCCCGCAGAGGGAGATTTGAAGCATGAGTGGCCACAATAGGCTGAGGAAGGCCTCAGGAGCCCAGAAAGAGAGCTGGTGGCTGTTTGCAAGGAGGAGAATTTTGGTGCAAGCGCCATTTTGAATAGGAAAATTGGCGCAGCCGCCATTTTGAATGCCAACGGTCCCTCAAATGGCAGATAGCACAGCATCAGGCCAGCCTGACAAGTCAGGGAGCGCCCAAGGAGGTTTGCTGTCAGTGGCTGGGGGCCACGATCCACCGACCTTGCCTGCCTCATCCCAAAGCAGCAGTGCAAGTAAGCCTCAAGATAAAGGTTCTAAGGACTCTAAATCCTCCAGCAAGGGCTCCAAATCAAAAAAGACTCCCAATCAGCAGACAAGGATGCCCCACCCCAGGCCAAGACTGGGTCTCATTCTCATTCCCCCACTACCATCTCAGGCCGCAATCCCCCCTCACAGTTGGATTCTGGGCCTGGCCCATTTAGTCCAATGCTGTCTATTAATACCTCAGGGATCTGGGGGCAATCAGTGCTACCTCCCCCTATGGAACCTCGCCTGCCTAGCAGACACGCAGAAGCCACATTTACGCCCACAGCTGCGGGCCTTTGTCAAGAGTACCCATCCCAGGCCATGCCTCTGAACTACCAGTCATTCATTGCAGAGGCAATTAAGCAGGGGATTGCGGTTGGGTTGCAGCAGCAGGTGCCGCCACCACCTCCACCAGCTACTCAGGTGCGCGCACATCATACCCTTGTTCCCGACATGAGGGCGGAACATTCACCTCAGCGCCCAGAGCGCACTCATTCTCCAGCTTCAGAAGAAGGGGAGATCAGGGAGGATGGCTTATCTGAGGAAGAGGGGGAAGGCCCAGACAAGCTGGTGGCCTTGGCCTTTTTCCACCAACCCTTTTCAAACCTCTCCTAACCAAGGCAATTGCTGCAGCTGATATGGGGGGGGGGCAGGTGGAGGATCCATCAACCTCCGGGACCACCAAATCAGCCAACAGCTGGTTTACAGAACGTAAATTGTAGATGGACACCATCCCTGCCCCCCAATTGTTTATGGACACCATCCAGAGGCAATGGGCTACACCAACATCAGGCCCGTCTCCGTCCAGCTCAAACAAACGTTTTTATTACATGGCTTAGTGCCTTGACAAGCTGTTGCAGTGGCTGACTGTGGATGCCCCGATTTCGGCTCTGCACTCTAGCACTACATTACCAGGGTCACAGGAAGAGGTCCTGAAACCTGAAGTAAAGAAAGCCGACCAAACCCTCCAGCGGGGCCACCAAGCGGCTGCTTGGGCGGTCCGGGCTTCAGCAGCAGCTTCCTTTTTTTCTCATTCTAGCTTGAGCTGGTTGCAACAGCTGCAGGGGAGGATCCCAGCCAGGGACTCCAGGGCACACCAGGACCTGAACAAAATCATAGCTGCAGTGCAGTTTTCAGCGGATGCCACCCTGAGTGCCACCAGATTTGCATCATGGGCCATGGCATCCTCCGTGGCATCACATAGACTCCTGTGGCTGCGCCCGTGGCAGACTGATCTCCTGCACAAGTGGCACCTAACCTCGGAGCCATACAAAGGGGGTGACCTATTTGGGGATTCCCTCACGCCTCTCCTAGTAGAAGGGAAAGATAAGCGTAAGATCTTGCCCACCAGTTATAAAAAGGGGCCGTACCACCCAAGTCCTTATCCCAGGAGGCAGGGGGCTAGACAACTAGATTACGGCGCATCCTTTAGGAATAAGGATTATGGTCCTTCCTCCTTTAGACAGCAGGGTAACTTTGGGCAATGTCAGAGACAGCAATCATACCGCCAGCAGTGGGGAAATCAGTCCAAGTGGCCCTTTCGGGGTGGGGGCAACTATTTCTACCATAGGCCCTGAGTTACTTGAGGAGCGGTTCCCCATTGGCAGCCGGTTAATGCATTTTGCGGAAGTGTGGGAGACCATCACTTCCGACAATTGGGTCATCACTACAGTTAAAGTGGGGTTGGCCCTTGAGTTCATTTCGTTCCCTCCATGGTTTTTTATTAGGTCCCTGGTCTTGGGCAATAGGCAACGGCAGCTCTTAATGAGCTCGGCCATACGTCATCTGCTAGACATTGAAGCCATCCAATCAGTGCCAGTAGACCAGCATTTTCAGGGTTTCTATTCTGTGTTATTTGTTAACCCCAAGTCCTCGAGGGGTTGGAGGGCTATTTTGGATTTGAAGCGCCTTAATAAATACTTGAAATATCAACATTTTAAAATGCACTCCTTGCAGTCTATATTAGAAGGGGTACGGCAGGGTGACTTGCTCACCTCTATCGACTTAATGGAGGCATATTTGCATATCCCTATACGCCAGGACCACCGCTGTTTCCTCCGGTTTTGCTATGATAAACACCATTATCAATACAAAGTCTTACCCTTTGGCCTCTCATCTGCCCCTAGGGCTTTCACTAAGGTGTTGGCTGCCCTGACAGCACGTTTGAGGATGGTGCCTATCAGGATTATGTCTTATTTAGAAGACATTTTGGTATTGTCACGCTCTCACGATAGGACCTTGGCCAACCTTGACACCACTGTTCATGTCCTCCAGTCCCATGGTTTTTCCATCAACAGGACCAAAAGTCACCTTTTGCCCACCACTCACATTTTACACCTGGGAGCCTGGATCAACACCGAAGCAACCCAGGTGTTCCTCTCCGAGGAGAGACAGGACAGCATCCGCCAATTGGTGTCCCAGGTGGTGAGGGAAAGGAAGGTTTCACTAGCTATCTTATCTAAATTGCTGGGGAAGATGGTTTCAGCCATCGCTATTGTTCCTTGGGCAAGACTACACACCAGGGAATTGCAATGGCTCCTACTGCCCTTCCAGAAGGAATGGAGGAGCTCCTCCCTGACTAGGGTTACCTTGCCTAGCGAAGTACGTCAATCCTTGCATTGGTGGGGGTCCCCTGCGGTTACAAGAGGGTGTTATTTCAGATAGAGGACAGGATCACGATCACAACTGACGCAAGCCTCACAGGTTGGGGCACCCATCTTGACACACACTTTGCCCAGGGCAGGTGGTCAGAGGTGGAAAGTGCCTTGAGCATTAATCTCGAGCTTATGGCCATCCATCTTGCCCTCCTCCACTTCGTAGACAAAGTTGAGGGGACACATGTTTGTATTCTGACAGATAACATTATGGCCAAGGCCCATGTCAACAGGCAAGGGGGCACCCGGTTGAAGCAGCTGATGGGGGAGGCGGAAGAGCTGGGTCGCTGGGCTGAAGGGCATCTCCTGTCCCTGGTTGCTGAACACATTTCAGGGGTTGATAATGTAAGGGCAGACTGGCTCAGCCGCTTTACCCTGGATCAGGCGGAGTGGAGATTACATCCTTCTCTCTTCCAGGAGATTACACGTCAGTTCGGGGTCCCGATCATGGATCTCTTTGCCTCTCTAACCAATGCTCAGCTGCCACGGTTCCTCACGAGGTTCCCTATGCCAGGGGCAGAAGGGACGGATGGTCTCCGCTGGCCCTGGCCTCAGGGACTTCTATATGCCTTCCCGCCACTTCCACTGTTAGCCAGAGTCGTACAAAGAATCATTACATCCAGGGCAGAAATCATACTGATTGCATCACACTGGCCATGCCAGCCATGGTTTGCGGATCTTCAGACATTGTCTGTGGAAGGGCCCTGGAGGATCCCGCCAATCCAGGCGTCCCTCACCCAGGGGTTGCTGGAGCATCCGGACCCCCAGTGGCTCCAGCTAACTGCCTGGCGCTTGAGCGGGAAGGCCTGAGACTCAACAGGTTCTCCGCTAGGGTCATAGACACTATACAGGGATCCAGATGACCCTCCACGGATCTTATTTATAATGCTACCTGGCGGATGTTCTGTGAATGGTGCTCTGATAGGGTAACGCCGGTTTCAGCCTCGGTTCCCCAAGTCCTCGAGTTCCTCCAGGATGGACTGGAAGAGGGATTGTCACCCAATACCCTTAGGCAGCAGGTCGCGGCCTTGTCCACTATGTTGTCCTGGGGAGGGGGACAATCATTATCTCAGCACCTGGCTGTTAGAAGATACTTAAAAGGGGCTTCTAATCTTAGGCCACCTATAGTGCACAGATATCCCACATGGGACTTGGCGAAGTTCCTCGCCTCCCTAACGAAAACGCCATTTGAACCTCTAGACACTATTCCTCTACTATTTCTTTCCCTGAAGGTTGCATTCTCAGTGGCCATCACATCTGCATGAAGAATATCAGGGCTCCAGGCGCTATCCATTGGCGAAGGGCTGTGCAACTTTTATGAAGATAGGGTGGTCCTCAGGCTTGACCCTTCCTTCCGCCCCAAAGTCAATTCGTGGTTCCATAGGGTGCAGGACATTGTATTACCTGATTTTTGTCCCTCGCCTTCGAGACCCTTGGAAGAGCAGTGGCACATGCTAGATGTCTGGTGGGCCCTTCAAACCTATATTCACAGGACTGCAGCTTGGCGGAAGATGGAACATCTCTTTGTTTCTTTCCAGCCTTCCTCTCTGGGGCAGAGGGTTTCGATCACTACCATAGGCAGGTGGGTTAGGAAATGTATAGCCACAGCCTATTTCTCCAATGAGGAGCCAGTTCCACAAGGGATTACGGACCATTCCACCAGGAGCTCGGCCACTTCTGCGGCATAGAACACCTAGTCTTCCCTAGGGGAAATTTGTAGGGCAGCAGCCTGGGCAACCCCATCGCCCTTTGTTCAGAACTATAAACTGGACAAATTTGCTTTGGCAGACGCTGCCTTTGGCCGCAGGGTTCTACAAGCGGTCCATACTGCAAGGTGATACGACAGTCTCTCCCTCCTTATGGGGACTAGCTTGGGTATGTCCCATAAGTGGATGCTATCTCCAGCTCTATTGAGAAAGGGCGTTGGTACTTACCTGATATGCCTTTTCTAATAGAGTGGAGATAGCATCCAGCCCCGCCCTGATTGGAGACTGTTCCTTAAGTGATTACCTGGACAAAGGGTTGATGAGGTTGTTGGTCATTGCATTTTGTATCGTTGTGGAATTTAGTGTTGGGTTTATTATATAGCGTTACTAAAGTTGAAAGTTGGATAACATGTGGAGTCTGTGTTTTTGTTCTTCGTTGAAAGATGGGTGGAGTCACTCACAGAGACGGGTTATATATGCAACTAATTAATTATTAATCAGACTCAGTCCAATAGGAGAACGGACAGGGTTAACCTATAAGTGGATGCTTATCCACTTATAGATTAAGAGGCATATCAGGTAAGTACCAACGCCCTATCTCCCCCCCCCCCCCAAAAAAAAACAAGCTAACTTTCTGAAGAGTAGGAGACCAGATTCTTTCAAACACTAAAAGGGATGGCTGGGGAAAATGTGTATTATTGCTATATCAGTGAAATGGTTACGTTCTTACCTGTGTCTGGAGTTTCATCATGTCAGCTTCAATTTTAAGGTTGGATTCATTTAGTTCTTTAATTTCTTCATCCAAGTGTCTGATTTCATGTTCATTCTCTAAACCTGCATAAGATTTACTAATTAAAATCAAGCATTAAAATTTCTTCCTGAAAATATCCACATCTGTCTTTAGAAACACTGTGAAATTGAGGCTTACATTGGTTAGATAACCACCCATTTAACTGGAATCAAAACTAGATATTAGCAATTTCATTCTACACTTATCGGAATCAATATAAAACTCTCCGTTGTGACATATCAAGGACTAGGAAGTCATGAACGACTTCAAAATGTTCATGCACGTCTACTACATTTCTCAATATTTTCGTCATCTTCCTGCTTTACTACTGATTTAGATGCCTATTGTTCAGGAAGTGTTATATCTAATGGGAACACAGTTTTGGTATGTAATCTATGCATCAATGTCAGCTATATTTATAGATCAATTTCGCCTATATGAAACAGGTCCAAACATTAAGCGATAATGTGTTGTATTATATTGGAGTAGGGACAGCTGATCTTCCCTTTCATATCAGTAAAGTGATAAAGTGGTAAATATAAATTTATAATTAATGCAATTCAGGAGTGGGATCCTACTGGTTTAACAACTGGTTCACTGAGGGCACACTTCACGGGTGCACATTTGCTTCTCTCACACACATGCCTGATGTGCGCTCTGCACAAATGCACATTTTACAGCGGAATCACCTTTTGCACTACTGCTGGGGAGGAAAACAGCTGAGGCATGGCAATCCACTCTGCCATGCCTATCAGCTGGCCTTCAGAAAAGGGAATATAGGTGAGTATAACGCGGGGGTGGACCCAGCTGAAAGTTGGAGCAATTGGTTCGTTCCCAGCTGATAGTTGAAGCTACTGACTCGGGCAAACCGGTAGAATCCCACCCCTGATGCAAGTACATCTATGTATATGCATAATCACAAACTTCAATAGCTTTGAAAAGGGGATCCATGGTGGCTAATCAAAATGACTATGTTACTTATATTCAATATTTATTGATGGAAGACAGAGAGCAACGTGTATCACATAAATACTGAGGGAAAATAATACATAGTCAAACCTTTCACAATAATACTATCGTATTGCACCACAACAGTTCTTATAATTGTCAGTAAATTAATGGGTTGATACTATATTTGTGCAATCTAATCTCCTTACCTCCATTTGCTTTCAATTTAACAGTCATTAGTTCTTCAGATATTTTGCCTTTTTTTAAGGCTTGTGCATTCAGGGGACATCCAGACAAGCTAAAAAGAGTAGAAAAGGGACCTATATGAAAGTTGAAACATATTTTGATTGCCACAACTCAGCTTCCAACATCTTGTCAGTATAAATCCGTTTTACTGTGCTGTCCATTATGATCCACCCTTATAATAATGTTAATACATTTTTTTTTCTTTTTGTAAATATGTTTTATTTTCATTTTCATTTCATACAGTCACATATATACTGTGCATAACCGGTGCCTGAATGCCATCACGGTACGTAACTGGTACCCGCT